AATGATGTGTCTTGCCTAGATTGAAGAGCACCTTCCGGCCCCCCTCAATTGCAAGTGCAAGTGCACTAATCCCGTCACCACTAATCCCAGTAATACTACTCCCAACACTACTACTCCCGGCACCACTACTCCCAACACCACCATTCTAGGAAAGACACACCATCGACGATAATACGACACGTGTTTCGCCTCTACACGAGGCATCTTCAGGTGATGTAGATTCTAGGGGGCCTTTTTTATTTTTAGCGGTCAGCCGCCGACTGACCAGCGAATCCTAGCCCTTGCGAATAATATATATATATATATATATATATATATATATATATATATATATTATGGTTTAAGATATTTATTTTCTCAAAAGATTTACAAATCACTTACAGTGAAAATACTTATTATAAAGAAAAAAAACATTAAGCCGATTGGCGTAGTGAGCTAGTATTATAATATATCGCTAAAACTTATTTTCTAATTGAGTGCTTAATAATTTATTTAGTAATAATTACACATAAATAAGTAGGGTAGTTGCAAAAGTACCAAAGCTAAGCCGACCATCGTCACTTCGGTAAAATTGAATGAATGTGACGAGTTATTTGTTAAGGCCTATGACACATTAACTATTTTATTGTGTTCAAAATTAATTTATAGTGTTAGTACATATTAGATGAACATAGTACATATTAGTCAAACGACTATCCTAACCAAGTTTAAAAACCTAACCTTTTTGATAGAATTCCAATACCTGCTTACCAAGTTTAAAAACCTAACCTTTTTGATAGAATTCCAATACCAGCTTTGTCTAAGAAAACTTATTCGTTATATTTTTGCGCATAATTTTTATACTACTTACTATAATTTATAATTGAACACTGAAGTACTAATATTTATTTATCTGTTATTGTTTGTGTTCATCTTTTAAAACCATTATCATATGTAATACGATACTATAATTAGGTAGTGTTTCTTTATTTAGTATATTATATATTTAGTTATTAATTTGTTTGTAATAATATAAGTAGTGTTGCACATACGCATAATGCAACGTATATATACATACACATACACATATACGTATATACTCATATATACACACGTGTAGATATATACACAAATATATGTATTTACATAAGTTATCTTGTCTCATATCTATAATCATACTGTGTATAAGTATAATTACTTATTGTATTATCTCTATACAACTATTTTATTGCAGATATTATTATTAAGTTTGCATGTGTACTTCATATATGTAGATTAGAGATTTGTGATTATTAAGTTATTATGAAAGATCCTTTAAAATGTGGCTTTTTATCAATTTCTTAAAAGTGGACAGGGACTTTCTTTCTTTAATGTTTTTAGGTAATTTGTTGTAGTGTTGAGCTCCCTCATAAAGAACACTCCTTTTTCCATAGTTTGTTCTATATAATCTCAAACATAGGTTATTAGTCTGCCTTGTCATACGTTTATGGTAATCTATCTTTTTTTGTAAATGTTATTTGAGAGTGAGTAGCATTAGTAAGTATTTTCCTAATAAAAATGCATATTTTATATTTGTACGTTTGGGCTAGATTAAGTAATTTGGTTTCTTTATATATTTGAGTGGTAGGTGTTAAGTATTTATATTGGAATAATATTTTTATAGTTTTATTTTGTGTAACTTGTAGTTTTTGCAATGCTGATTTAGTAGCTGAGCCCCATACTTCAATCAAATAATCTAAATGAGGCTTAACTAAAGAGTTATATATGGTATATTTGGCATGTCTCGGGAGACATCTAACTATAGTTTTTAAAGCTCCTGTTAATGAGTAGATTTTACTATGGATCTTCTCAATATATTGTTTCCAGGTAAGTCAACCGTCAAGAACAAGGCCTAAATATTTCTCGTTGTTAACTTTGGTTAATATTTCACCATCAATAGTAAGAGGATTGTGACTTTCATTTTTTTTTATTTTTTGCACTAAAGGTTACGTATTTTGTTTTTGAGGTATTAATTGTTAGTAAGTTTGACTGTAGCCAGGTGTGTAATATGTGTAAGTCTTGCTGGGCTTCACTTAGTACTGATTCTAACGAGTGACCAAAGTAGAAGAGGCTGGTGTTGTCGGCGTATAAAGTGATATCTCCCTTTAGTCCAATTTTATATATGTTGTTTACATAAATAAGGAACAAAAGGGGTCCCAATATTGATCCCTGTGGAATGCCACAAATAACCGGTTGGGGGCTACTTTGCTGATTATTAATTTTAACAACTTGAAATCTATCAGAAAGATGAGATTTAAAATGTCAAATGCCTTTCTTGTGATACCTATGTCTTTTAGTTTTAATAATAGGATGTCATGGCTGACTGTGTCAAAAGCCTTTTTTTAGGTTAATAAAAATATCTAATGTAATTTTTTTCTGATCAATATTAAGTCTTGTGTTGGTTACTAAATCAACAGTGGCAGATACAGTGTTAGACTTTGGGCGGAAGCCATATTGCTTTTTATAGAGGTAATCAATAGAAGTCAGGTAGTCATATAGTTGTTTATGTAGTATTTTTTCAAATAATTTCGACATTACTGGAAGTACCGATATTGGTCGGTAATTGTTTGGGTCTTGTTTGCTTCCGGCTTTAAAAATAGGACTAACTTTTGCAGTTTTTAGGCTATTATGAAAATAGCCATCACTTAAACTTCTACTATATTGTCTTTAATACACTTTAAGGATTTTGTGTTTATGCCATCTAAACCGGAACTAGCATTAGAATCTAAGTCTTTTATTATTTTCAGTACCTCGTCTGCGGTCGTTGGGTTTAATTTTGATAAATCAGTGTTGTTGTTTTTAGGTTTGTTGTATGACAGTGTTTGTGTAAAGTTTTAATGATTTTTTGCGGTATTTTATTTGCAAGTTCAGGGCCTATAGTGACGAAAAATCTGTTAAAATACTCACAAATTTCTTTAATATTTGAGATTTGACCATTAGGGGTATTGATTTTTAAATACCTTAGGTCTGCCAGATCTGATTTATTATTTGACAGTCTATTAATTAGTTGCCACATTTTTAAAGGACATTTCTTACAATCTGTGAAAGCCTTATGATAAAATTGTTTTTAGCTGTTTGGATATATGCAAACGTGAGTTTTCTTTGTTTTATAAATTCTGTTCTCAAATTTTCATTATTCAGGTGTTTGTTTTAAGTTGTACCATAGTTGGTTCCTTTTATTAGGGTTCCGTAGTCAACTAGGAACCCTTATAGTTTCGCCATGTCTGTCTGTCCGTCTGTCCGTCCTCGCTTAATCTCTGTGACCGTTAGCACTAGAAAGCTGAAATTTGGTACCAATATGTGTATCAATCACGCCGACAAAGTGGTAAAATAAAAATTGGAAAAAATGTTTTATTAGGGTAGCCCTATATGTAAAGTGGGAAGTGATTTTTTTTTAAATTTTAACCCTAACGTGTGATATATTGTTGGAAAGGTATTTAAAAATGAATAGGGGTTTACTAAAATCAATTTTTGATAATGTCAATAATTTCGGAAATAATCGCTCCAAAAGTGAAAAACAATGCGTCCCCCCACCCCTCTAACTTTTGAACCATAAGTCTAGAAAATATGAAAAAAATCTGAAATGTAGAACTTTATAAGGACTTTCTAGGAAAATCATTTTGAACTTGGATGGAAACAACAGTACCCACTACCGGGAGCAGTTGCAGGAGCGCGGAGTGCTGCTGGAGCGCGAACATAATGGATACCCACCTTTAAACTCATAAGTGGGAACACTTATTGTGACGGACGGGAAACTACGGAACCCTGCACTGAGCGTGGCCCGATACGCTCTTGGCCGGTTTTTTATTAAAGCAATTAGGCCCCTGTTAATCCACTCATCTCAAGGCGGATTAACCACTTTTGTTTTTCTTATTATATTTTTTGCAATAGTTTGTAGTAGTTGCCATTCTAGCTCCTGAAATACTTGAAATGACTTATTTTGAGAAATTTCTTCAATATCGTTCTGCAGGTTGTTATAGTTAATTGCTTCATATTGAACTTTTTTATGCGTTCGGTTTTCGGTCTGTTTAACTCAAGATATATTTGTTTGTGATCAGCTATGGAGGATTTTCAATAATAGACATTTGGAAAGTATTATTTTGTAAGTTGGTACATACTATGATCTATAATAGTTTTTGATATTGTGGTTTCACGAGTGCCATACTCGGTGTTTATTTTATTCAATATTCTTATGTTATTCTCTCGCAGCATTTCTTTATATTCTTTTACGTGTTTGTCGTTAGTAGATTAAAATTAAAGTCGCCGATGATAATAACACGCTTTCTTCTTGCAAGGTGTTGGTTATAGTTTTCAAGAAACTTGTCAGTACTTGCTGCTGGCTGTTTTATATGGCACCTATGTCCAGGGAAAAAGTGTCAAGATGTACCCATAAAAGTGGTTTCTGTCTTCATATTGATTCTACAATAATTCGTGTTTCAAATCCTTATGAATAAACAAAGAGACTCCACCACCTCTAGAATGTTTTCTGTAGTTTTAGTAGTGAACATATTTTGGTAGCTTTAATCTCTGTGCTTCTTCTTCATTTTTTATCCAAGTTTCCGTAATAATTAAAACATGAATCTTCATTTCGAGTGATTCTATAACACAACGTATTTCATCTAGTTTGCCTGGCTTAACTAAACTCCGAATATTGGCGTAGAAAATTTTTAGCGCTTTGTTTGTAATAGATAAATCTGCATAATTATAATGATATTTATAAGTTATAAATTTATCCTAATTTTTAGTTATTGTATTTTCTCTGGTGTCCCGTTTTTTGTTTCCTGTTTTATTATTTTGGGTGTTCCTTTTATATACTTTATAATTAAGTCGTTTTCGCCTTTTTCTTTGCCCTGACGTAACTCTTCTCGAAGGTTTGCCATTTCTTGTTTTTGGTTAGGTGTGATCGGAAAAGATTTTTATATTGCTTACTTTGCAGTTAAATATATTTTTAATAAGATTTTTGCTATATCTGGAATTAAAAATCAAACTTTTAGTGGGCGCGTTTTCTTCCCATCATACTTGCTTAGGCGCATTATTCTTTCTGGTTGGGGGGTAAGTGGATAGATGCCTGATAGTACTTTCATCACATCACATCTATCGTTTTCCCTCTTTTCTCCCATATTTTCTGAATGTGGTTCGAAAATGCCAGCGATTATTATATTCTTGGCGCTCTCTAAACGCTCTTGAACTTCGGTCATTATATCTGCACAACTATTCGTTGTCGGTTTAGGACGTCCTGATGTTAAGGTGGCATGTACAGTGCTCTGAAGAGCCGGTACATCATTTTCAATACATTTTATTTTTTCTTGTTATAAGTGACAGTATTTGTTAGTTTTTGTATTTCCGACTTGAAGGTATTATGTTCTATGAGTAGCAAGTCTGTTTTAGTTTTCATATCAGTAAGTTGTTCATTGATAGATTTGATATCTGTTTTTATAGAATTGATGTTTTCTGTCTGGGATTTACCAAACTCCTTTAACATTCCTATAATTTCCTTTTTAAATTCATTGAATTGGACCGAGAAATCATCCTCAGACAGTTTTCTTTTGCGTTGTGACACATTTTTATATTCGTGCTCAGCTGATGCAATGATTGACAGGGCAGGCTGGTAACTACTATTCCCACTAATAATATTCATTTTGTCACTAGATTTGGTTGTAGGTGAACGTTGGACACTCATATTGTAGTATGTGTAAATAAATTTTCCGCTCCGCTCGGTTGGTATGTGCGTGACCCTCACTATGGAATAGTTCTTTCCGAAATCAGTAGTAAATTAAAGGTAACTGACTTTCAATTAATGTTATTTATATGAATAATAAACTTTCTATTTTTTATTTCTATTATTTGCGTAAATATAATAAATCCCAGCCTTTATTTGTTCTTACCATGGGTACACTTTATTTGGAACAGCACTATACTATGGCACAATTAAGTTTAGAATTTATTTAGCACTACTATTTTATTTGTCGAAGTAAAGAGTAAACACGTCCGCTTACTACGCGATGCAACAATCGGCTGTATATATTATCATATATTATATATATTATTGGCAAGGGGGTGTTCTTACGTATTGCATTTTTAACGGCGAAAATAGGTAAGAATGTCCACCTAGGTAATGCATTCAGACGAAAATATAAGCATAGAATGGAAACATAGGTATTAAATATGATGATGAGATGAAATGTTGGAGACTTGTCCGGTTTAAGTTGAGCGTTGCGACATAGTACCGCAGTCCTGACGTTGGATGTCCACAATGGACTCCTTACTGAGGGACTGGAACTGGAGTTTTTAACACCTTCTCTATTTTATAAACGTGCGGCAATATCGTACGCGACGATTTACGAAATTGTATAGTTGACGTCACACTTATATTAAAAAAAAATATCACGAATAGAAGTAGGTTTCCTAAAGAATTTGCCACGAGCTTATGTTAACCAGTATGGTGTCATACCTACCACGCTGAAAAAGGTAAATCCGAGGCATTCATAATAGCCTGTCTGTGTAATTATAAATGCCATTAAATCCCCATTCAGCTAATAATTATCTTTTTATAATCTATTACAAAGCGATCGACTCTTTCTTAAGACATAGATAGGTGGGTTGACAGGAAGAAAATGCCTTTAGGCATTAACCTAAACTCCTTTGTATTAATATTTAAATGGGAATGCAATAAAGAATTTTATCGTGCGTTTTAATTGAAACCCCTTATTATATAAAATACAATATATTGATTTTAAAACTAAACATAAAATATAAGAGAAAGTACAACTAGGGTCAATTTTTTTTAAGTTGTTTTTTACTCAAAAATTATTAAATTTCGTTTCTTTTAGGAGAACGCGATTACCTGAGACTCTTTTCATTTTAAAGCGCTACAACTGAATTAATTAAAAAGCCTTTTCAATTATTTGATTTATCGATATCAACGTCGCGTCCCAACTCTATCCCCCTGATCGAGCTTCGCGTTTAACAAGACTTCCTACTTAACGGAGCGAACGATAACTTCTTCGTATGTAATCATTAATTCCATCGTTTTACAACCACTTCTGTTATACCGCTTAAGACTGCGTTGTTTTCGAGAAGGTGAAACAAATTTTTAAGCTCGTGATACCATCCATACCATCTGGATGACTGGCGGTCCACCACTGTGCGATTTAAAAGAAGCTTTTTTTCTCACACTACTTCCTTGTGGAATCGACTACTACCAGAGATTTTTCTGGACCGATACGACTTAGGGACCTTCAAGAAAAGAGCCTACTCCTGTTTAAAAGGCCGACATCGCATAGTAATTCCTCTGGTGTTGCATTTGTTCATGGGCGGTGGTAGTCACTTACCATCAGTTGGGCCGCATGCTCGCTTTCCCCATCTCCTATTAAAAAAAACTTTTTTCAAAATAGAATAAGAGTCACAAACGAGCACGCACCGCATCGATGGCAAGTGGATGCTGTGGACCATAGATATCTACGTATATCATCGATTAAAAATCAAAATGCAGAGCTACTATTTTACACTTGTAATTTGTGAGGGCGTGGTGCTTTCCCAGTCGAGCTGACCCATTCCTACTACAAACATAATACAGTTGCAGCACGGTTCTCCACCAGCACCTCTATTACACCAGATGTATCTGGTAGTGCAATAGCTGATCCGCCTGCTAGGCGTGGCACTTTAGATAAGTCCTCACTACAACGGAAAAGACCCATGTCTATCGTTGACTTTTACGGGTTGATGAAAAAAAGGTTAAAGCTGAGTTGTCAATACTTCTCTTGTGCAACATTTTAAAAGCAAAATTAACATTGAATATCACATATAATATTTTGAGTTTTGGCGGAAACTTACCGCGGTTTGCCGCTCCTGTATTATTTTTTATATAATGGCTTGAAGTAGATTTTGATATTTAAAAGTGTTCTGATTATGTTTATTAAATGTCTGCGGATAAGAACTATTAGTGAAAAAGATGAATATTGCAAGTGCAAGGTGTTGATTACGCACCTTGAGATACTGTCGTCATCCGGCTTGCTCGAAGTGCTGTCAAATCCTCCCAAGAACTTTAAAATATGACACTTCAATATATTGTCAGAAAGTTTGGAAACAAATTATGTTATAGGATAATTTCACAATCAAACCTAGTGATGATGAAGACTTAGATGGTAAATTGAAATTTCTAAGCGCAACAATATCCTATTCGCTCTTGCCTTGAAGACGTTCTCGTGACAGTTTTAAATTGCTTTGTACCAACCACAGAAATCTAAATAATATTATTATTTAGATTGTGCTGTGCTTTTTTTTAAATAAACTCGTTTTTACGGATCTTATCGCGTATATAAACTTATTTTATATTCCCTACCTTCAATAGTCAATTCAATCAGTTCAGAAATCATTATGTGCTTATTTTTCTGATTGCCTATGATTGGAATTTTGAACACATCAAACAAAAACTTCAAATAAACCACGACAATGTAAAGACACATTCACAATAATACAACGTAACACATAATACGTTGGTCCAACTCGCCACATTAGCGCTGCGATCCGATATCAACAACGCCTAATGTCCCGACACCATAGAAAATAATAAAAAATCTCTCAAAAGAGGTCCTATACTCATCTCAAATCTGACAAATTTTGGACAACAATGCCGCCTGAATGATATAAGGGTTAAACGGATCCTAATTTACAAACATAACGAAGCAACTAAAAAATTATAAAGTTTAAAATTTTATTCTAAAATACACTTTATAACATTTAAGTCAAGGTACAAAAAAATTGAACATAACATTTTAGGGAGGGTAAAAACAACTATTGTTGATAGCGAAAGGGCTATAGAAAGGCGGCACGTTTGATGCCGTGTCGGATGTCTCAATCGGGAAGGCTTTACCGCGCACCGACGGCCCACTCCCACACGAAGGGGCATTCTGTAAAACTTCGATATCGAATTTAGTACATAATTGTGCAATTTATCTTTTTATTTAACGAGACTTGACGTGCAGACTGCTAATGGCAGTTTCATGTTGAGCTTCACATTACACTTTTAAGCAAATAAGTATTTTGATTGAGATTAATAACAGTGATTATTTTTAACATGCCCAGTTAAACTCCTTCTGGATATTTTTTTATCACAAGTCGAATGCTGAAACCCACTCCCATAGGTTGCCACAAAACACGTTCTCGAGTCAACTTTTACTCCTGTGTTTCATCAGGTTGTTACTCCATCTCATGGAGGGGTCACTCAATACATTGCTTGCAAGTAAGAGGTTGCTAATCGAAAAAATCCTTTCCCATCAGTTATACAGTTCTAGCTACTGCTGGTACTGAGCTGATCACTGCTGCAAGCGATGGGCATGCTCAGAGAAGAGTAGAGATCTACTGTCACCTCTGAGAACTATGATAGAATACCTCATAGCCTCTAACTATACTGACACTCCGTGCCTTTTAACTGGAACTCCATAGAAGTAAGTAAAAGATGAGAACCATTACTGCGTGGTATGACTCCATTTCTGCCTAGAAAAGAGTATGGGTGGGGTCCATCCTCTTATATATTTCTGCCGTCATATAGCAGCGCTTGCATTTTAAATATTAGGCTTTTTTATAGAATAAGGGTGACAAACGAGCACACAGTCCATCTTATGGTAAGTGGATGCTGTGGTCTATAGACATAAATGTAGATATTTATCATCTATTAAGAATGCAGATGCGCTGTTTCACCGGAGGACTAAAATGGAATGCCTTGTTTTCAGTAAAATTATCTCCGATTCTCTAAACTCACCCTACGAAACACATCAGCACTAAGCTGCTATTTTTCGCTGGTATTCTGTGAAAGCGTGGTCCTACCCCAGTCGAGTCGACTCATTTATATTACAGCTATATAATATAGTTGCATCGTGGCCCTACCATATGTATATAGCTATAGCGTGGCTCTATCAAGTCTAAAAGAAAAATATATACTATCAGAAACCATAACATTTTTTCATCATCTTAGTAGAACAAGTGTACATAATTAATTATAAGATAAGGGAAAACAAAACGCTAAGGCTAAGGAATGTTAGGTTGATTTATTTATTTATTCATAGGGTACCAGCCATGCACATATTATTACATTTCTATAGAAAGTAGGCTTCATCTTAGGCCTTAATGTTATGCGTGCACCCTTATCAGTGACACAGTATTACAAAATACTATAAAATTAAGAGAAAGTAAAGATAAAATCTAATGAAGAAATATGTCGCAAGAGATGATACCTAAGGAGAATACATAACAGGATAATAAAACTGCTGCAAATAAGTAGCAGTTGTTAAGTAACATGTATGTTTACGAGAAGAAATGAAATTTTAAATAGAGAGAGAATGGGGGAGAGAGAAAGAGAACGCCATAGAGGTGAAATAAAATATAAATTTCAGAATATCAACGCTGTATCTAAAGCATTTCTAAACACACAACGACACAAACACATGTTGTGGAGTCACGGCTCTTTAAATACCCACACAGAATAATTGCTCACAATAAATCAAGGATGAGCGTTGAAAGGGTTAATGTGGCGAGGACAATAATGGTACCCTTTACCCTTTGTCACAACGAGACTGGAAAATGAACTATATTGTTTGAGTGGTAGAGTTGAAAGTCAATTGTCAACACTTAATTGAAAGGAATTTTTTCCCATAATATTGATTCGTTTGTCTTCATAATGCG